TAGATCTGATGGATTTGCCTTGATTTTTAGGGTATCCGGATCAGCCCAAGGATGCATACCCTCCGCAAGGTTACCCTGCCCCGGGCTACCTACCGCCGCCGGGCTACGCTCCTCAATACGCCGCCCCTCCCCCGCCGCAGCAAGCAGATAGTGGCGGCGGAGGATCCATGGAAGGATGGTGAGTTCGCCTCCGCCGCTACCTTTTTCAATTTTTACTTGGTTTTTACTGTTGCGGTAGATCTGTGTGCTTTGTTGACTCCCTTCTGCCCGGTTCTGTTTTGATTATTTTTTTCCTGAGTCTCTACTCATATAAACTTAATCGCTAATTACATTGAAGATCCGTTTGGTACATGAAATTGACTGAATTGGATTTGAAATTCTACGAAATTAAATTGGATCAATTCATTTTTTTCACTACAGATTCCAAATTTGTGTGCTACCAAACAACAGAATTAGAATTCTAATCTTATGTCTTGAATTTCATGTAACAAATGGAGTCTAAACTTTTACCTCAATCATTCTAAATAAACCACATCTATTTTTATAGCTCCACACCATACTTTCTTTATTCCGCACACAATTTCATTGTTTTCTTGATTTTTGAAGGCTAGAACAAAAAATTTAGTCCCACTTCATTGCTGTCTTATGTGCTAGGGTGGAACAACATATATATATATATATATATATATATATATATATATATATATATATATATATAGGGGATTTTCTCTCCTTATATTGTAGCCATTTGACATTAGTATTACTAAAAATCAAATCTACCCTACTACTCAATTCGTTCCGAATCAATATTTTTTTTGGTCTCTTTGATCTTTTCCCAAAGAATAAATTTATTTTCTTTTCATAATAAATCTCAACCTTAGGATTTCAAAACTTCCTTGATCTTGGTAGATATGTAGGTGAATATATCTATTGTTTCTGGTGTTTTTTCTGGTGGGTATTATTCTATCGGCTCGGTTCCATGGTAAGAATCATCAATTTTATGGACGGAGCTCCGTAAGGGGCAATGGCTTCTGTGGCCACTGGATTCCAGTGCCATGGAACCCCGGGCCGTTATTCTATAATTTGTATGAATTAATGGCAATGGTTTGACATATAATTTGTGAACAAAATGTGTTTTTGTGCATTGCAGTTTGGCTGCCCTTTGCTGTTGTTGCCTCTTAGATGCATGCTTTTGAAGAAGGCTTAATAATGGTTGAGCTGCGCGGCGATATTATTATTTTGTCTATCCTATAATCTCCCTCCCCCCCCATGATTTGCATTTAACTTTGAGACTCTGTCTGTGATTGTGGATTATTGTTTCCAAAAGTGTGTTATTTTCTTGTCTTTGAAACTCTTCATTCTTTTCTTTTTTTTCTTTTTTTCATGTATTGTTTTTATAAAACAAAAAACTTTGTAACTAGAGAATAATAATACTTTATTCCACACAACAATAATATTCTCGTTCACTATATACAAAGTTAAATTTTATTCATTTTGTTGGTTTGTTTTTGTTGTCTATTTGATAAAGTAATACTCTTTCCATCCGGAAATGTTCTTTTTATTTGATTTTTTACCATTTTTAATGTTGCACTCTGACCATTAATATTTATAGTTATACATGGATTTATTTTATAAAAAATGATATTTCAAAACTATATTTTGTTAAAATATATTGATATTAAATTTATATCATAATATGATGTATTTTTTTCCGTAAATCCATGTCAAATTGTACAAATTTTGACAAAAAAATTCAAATGTGAAACATTTATGAACAAAGAGAGTATAGTCATGTTTCTTTTGATTTTGTAAATCTTTTCATCTACTTTCTCCGTTTTGTTTTATATTGCCTAGTATGATTTTGAGGCATAATTAAGAATGGAAAAAATAGTGTTGATTTTTAAAAATACCCTCATATATTTTTTTTGTATTTTGAAGCAAAAAAGTGAACATAAATAAATACTCCCCATCCCCTAATTAAACACATGAAAAAAAAATTGTAAAACATTATACAACATCTCACAATAATCAAACATCTACTAAGGGGCTGTTTGGCAACTTCTGAATAGGTAAGTGCTGAACCAGTAAGAGGTCTAAACTATTAAGTGCTGAATCAATAAGAGGTCTGAACCATTAAGAGCTAGTATATTGCTTAACTATTCAAAGGCAAATGTCTGATCAATTCAGATAAGAGGTCTTAACCATTCAGACTCTGTATAATACTTAACCATTCAGAGGCAAATCTCTTAACCACTCAGACATCTGAACCATTAAGAGGCTGAAACAAACAGTCTGAACCATAAAGTGCTGAACCATTCAGACATCTGAACCATTAAGAGGCTGAAACAAACAGTCTGAACCATTAAGTGCTGAACCATTCAGACATCTGAACCATTAAGAGGCTGAAACAAACAGCCCCTAAATCAAACACCAAACACGTCTAAATTACATCCAAGTGAATTACATCATATCATAGCCTCATAGCAAATTACATCCAAATATTAACCCTCCAAAAAAAGAAGCGAAAAAAAACTCCACACCTTTAGCAAATTTTAGCATATTCCGAATAACTCTACAAGTTTAATATGGACACAAGACTCTACAAGTTCAACATTATTTCAGCATACTCGGAATAGTTTTTAAATATGTGATTTTTGTTTTATAATTTCATACGATATTTTATACTCTCATCCGTCTCAAAATATATGCAACAGTTACTTTTTCGGTCTCTCGATAACTTTTGTTTGTTTACTTGTTTTGGTTGACCATTTGATAAAATAAAATATTCTTGTCGCATCTTGTTTTCTAGGACTTTTGATCTATTTTTGAATGGTCTAATTTTTACTTTTCATTTCTCTATCAATTTGTAAAAAATGACTTTAAAAAAGATGATATTTTACACGTCGTTTGAAATATTGCTTATATTTTTGAAATAGAGAGAGAATACAATAATTTAAAAATAATTTCAGTCACACATTTTAACACATAACATGAACATTATTGTTAGAGGAGGTAGTAGTCACTTTAATATGAAGAGTTGACATGGTAATTAATTAAGTATTTACGTGAACAAGTATTTACGTGACACTAATCGGGCAAAAGTAATTAATTGTCCCTTAAATATGAATCAAGAGAATAACACTTTGTACTATGGAGTACTATATTCTTAAGAATGACTTTCTTAAAGAGTACTTACTCATTAAGGTGATTTTGGTATGGTATAGAACATGATTCAACTCATATTGATATCAAATGATTGGAAACGATTGTTTTGGTTTGTATGATATTTTACGTCATACTAATCTTAATCTTGAAATACTAGTATTTGTTTGGGATGATTTGAATGGCTCAATATTGATTTTGGTACAATCAAATTGGAAACATACGTAGCTATTACGGCAAATTTTTCATGGTCCTAAGATCATCACTTATTTTATGGTCCTTAATATGTAAATGTATTGGGCATATTTGGTGTGGAGGTATGGCTCTTTAGACATATTTAAATCTATTGTGGGAGATTTGGTCAATTTGGGACACACACGTTTGATGTGGAGGTCTCAAAGCATAATATGGTCTCAATACAATATCTTAACAAAAGTACGTCAAGCATATATGATCGAAATTTTGGTGGATTGACACCCCGGAAAATTAAATTGTCTCAAGTGTTTTACAATCATTCATCATACCTAAGAAATAAGATGTGTTACTCTCATCTGCTTGAAGAGTTAGGAATAGCGTGCTCCAATTCTATATATAGCCATAGTGAATTCAGCCATGTCAATGCCTCCCGCATCCCCCCATTGCCTCAGCGAGCAAAGCACTTTCCGTTATCCAAGACTACGGTGCATCCCTAGTATAAAGTGCCCCAATGCATTACGGACCACTAAAAAGTTATTTGTTTATAAATAAAGATAATAACACATAAAATATTATCTTAAATATGAAAAAATTAAATGAGAGCTTTATTTTGGATGAAGAAGGTATAAATTTTTAATTTTATAGGGAGTCTTAAAGTAAGAACTGTTCTGAATGTGTCTAATTGGGTACTCGGTACTATTTATGCTTCATTTTTATAGGAATAGAGCTCTGCTTTGTTTTTGTGATAACTACAAACAAAACTCATCGTCTAACGTAACGAGCATTTGGTCTAGTGGTATGATTCTCGCTTAGGGTGCGAGAGGTCCCGAGTTCAATTCTCGGAATGCCCCGTTTTTTTCTCGAATTCTGATTTCACCACCAACTTCTTTGTAGTTTTCAATTCCCAAATAAAGTTATTTTTTAGGTCTATTTTAAAATAAAATTACATAAATGATAAATCTGTTGAATATGTGTATAATAGAGATAGGTTGTATTTCCCTTCATAGAAAACACTACTCCCTATGAAATACTTTAAGTCCTACACAAAGATTAATGTCAAAATAGAAATTAGTATTCCGTATTTGTTAGGAGTTTTATTAAATGGAAACATTTATTTACTAAGAGATGTTAATTATTTAGATTTTTAAAGTTGTAATTTTTTTAAAGAAACATATTTTACATGCATAATTTAATTAAAAGATTTAGCGAGATAAAAGCAATAGTAGCTCCTTTTGAAGTGATTGGAATTTGTACAATCCTTTTTTAAATTAGCGTTTTAAAGTCAATTTGTACGATTTTATAATTATTTGGCATACTGCATACACTATTATTAAATACATCTTAAATGATTGCAATTTATTTAGAAAAAACATCTATAAAATATATATACCTCTGTTACGTTATATTTTGGTTTTACGGAGTGTTATTGATGATTGTCTCTTTACTATTTCTTATTTAAACAACCTTTCTTTAAAATAAGATGATTCACACTTTAGATAAAAATTTAAAAATTTGTTTCACTTGACTTCGTTACATTGTTATTGATTTGTTAATGATATTGATTTTTGTTTTTGTAAAAAATATTTAAAAATTACAAGCTTATAACCTAAAACTAATCTTAAAAGTAGCTACAATTTGTTACCATCTATCTATAATTGTTAGAATTAAAAGCAATTGAAGAAACAAATTCTATCATTTATTACCTAATCCAACTAAATTAAATTAAGGAGACATATTTGACGGGCTCACAGTACGAATCATACACGGACTACACAGTTTACAAACTTTATTTTCTTTTCAGCTTCAAATCCCCTGCCCCCAACAAATCCTAGTAATCTGATCAATCTCTTCTATCTGAAGCAATCCGTGGAAAAATGGGTAGCTCTGAAAGACCGAAAGGTGCAATCTTGCTGGGGTTGCTACTGGCGGCGGCGCTCCAATCGGCGGCGGGTCGGTTCGTGGTGGAGAAGAATAGCTTAAAGGTGCTCTCCCCTGATTCCATAAGAGGAACTTACGATTCTGCCCTCGGGAACTTTGGGGTTCCTCAGTATGGAGGCAGCATGACTGGGGTTGTCGTCTACCCTAAGGATAACCGGAAGGGATGCAAGGAATTCCATGACTTTGGGATTTCATTCACCTCCAAACCCGGTTCTTTGCCCACCTTTGTTCTTGTGGACCGTGGAGGTGCGTTTGGCTGTTTCTTTTCTTTTCTTTTTCTTCTCAATTGTTACTTTAATTCAGTAATTTAGCGGTTTAATTTCCACATTTATTAGGGATTTTTAAGTCTGTTGGACTTTTATTAGTTATTGTATTTTTAGCATTCAGTCATTTATGGAACTGTCCGGACTGAGCTATACTTGTGTAGGAATTTTATTGTGGTGAAATGGAAGGAATTAATATTTACCAATTTCCATAATGGAACTATGTGTGAGAATAATGGAAAAAAGGGGGAATAGATTTGTGTGGAAAGAATATATTACGATGCATAAGGGTTTTGTTGAGTTGAATTGTGAATATGAAGTGTTTCAGCAGCCTAACCTCATATGGAAAACAAGTACTCCATCTGTCCAAAGATAAACATATTTTCTTTTTTGGTATGTCCCAAAATGAACTCCCATTTCTTTTTTTTTTTGGTAAAAAATAACCATTTCTCATTTTCTCTCTTTTCAAATCAATTACAATCACTCACATTTTCAGTTTTTAACACTCGTCTTAAACCCCATGTCCGGTCAAGTTGGAGTCTTATTTTGGGATAGAGGGAGTGTATGGAAGTACATAGTTTGGTTAAAAATGGGCTGGGGGAATAATAATGTTCCTGAATTAAAGCTAAAATCAGTTTGTTTTTCCCTTATGTTATTATTGGCTTTTATTATGTTTTTTGTTCTTTATGGTTTTAATTCATAAGATTTGGGGGAAACATTGCCAAACTAAACTGAATTACATTATAATTTGGTTTCGTGGTGAGTTAAGTCAGTTTGGGAGAAGCACTAAATGTCCCTTGAATTTTGAAACACGGACTAACATTACCTCTTATTTTGCAGATTGCCACTTTGCATTGAAGGCTTGGAATGCTCAGAAATCTGGTGCTTCGGCAGTGTTAGTCGCGGATGACATAGATGAGCGGTTGATAACTATGGACTCGCCCGAAGAGGACGGGTCTTCTTCAAGCTACGTGGAAAACATAACAATTCCATCTGCACTTGTTGAGAAAAGTTTTGGGGAGAAGTTGAAGAAATCGCTAAGGGAAGAAGAAATGGTCAATGTGAATCTTGATTGGAGAGAAACTCTCCCTCACCCGGATGATCGTGTCGAATATGAACTGTGGACGAACAGCAACGACGAGTGTGGGTATAAGTGTGATATGCTGATGAGGTTTGTGAAAGATTTCAAAGGAGCCGCGCAGATCTTAGAGAAAGGCGAGTACACTCAGTTCACCCCACATTATATTACATGGTATTGCCCTCAGGCCTTCACTGTGAGCAAACAATGCAAGTCTCAGTGCATTAATCATGGGAGATACTGTGCTCCGGATCCCGAACAAGATTTTAGCTCAGGTTATGATGGGAAGGATGTTGTTGTTGAAAATCTGAGGCAACTTTGTGTCTTTAAAGTTGCCAAAGAGGCCAAGAAGCCATGGGTTTGGTGGGATTACGTGACCGACTTCCAAATTCGGTGCCCCATGAAGGAGAAGAAGTATAACAAGGAATGCGCTGATGGTGTAATCAAGTCTTTAGGTATACTTTTTGTAATAAAATAATGCGGAGTAACATTTATTGCAATACTCTGATAGTGCACTTGGGATGATCTAATTTCATGGAATTCATGCTCTCTAATGGGAAAAAGTACTTTTTCTTTAAAAAAAGTGCTTGGTAGGAAAAAATGAAAAATGCTTTCAACAACTAAAAACAGTGCTTTTAAAGCTTATTTAGAAAGCATCACATTGAGAACCTGATTGGGATAATATAGTATAAGTGCTTTCATCTTAAGCTCTTTCACACCTAAGCACTTAATTAAGCATCCGAAGAGTTTTTTTAACCATTTGAAGTATTTGTTCTTTTTTCAATTTTTACTTTAATGGTTCTTTTCGAAGATGTAACTCTTTGTGAAAATTTGTGTCAAACATTCTCCTGGACCTCCAACAGGTCAGATAATGATAATGCATGTTGCTTACCTTGCAGGTCTTGATCTGCAAAAGATAGAGAAGTGTCTTGGAGATCCCAATGCGGATGCTGATAACCCTGTTTTGAAAGAAGAGCAAGATGCTCAAGTGAGTGTGAATGATTTTCCTAATCATTTCAATGTTTTCTAATCTTAATTTCAATTATTCTGACACTTGAAACCTCTATTAGATTGGTAAAGGATCACGGGGTGATGTGACCATTTTGCCTACTCTTGTTGTCAACAATAGACAGTACCGAGGTTTGTGTTGATTCTTACAAATTAGTTTATATTGTGGGTAGCCAGTCATTTTCTTCAAACACTTTGTTCTTGTAGGAAAGTTAGCAAAAGGCGCTGTGTTGAAGGCAATTTGTGCTGGTTTTGAGGAAACTACAGAACCTTCTGTTTGTCTTAATGGAGGTGTGTTCACTTCTCATGATTACGCATTTGTTTGCTTTGGTAGAATATGAGAAGTGGGAGGAAAAAGTTACTACGGGTATTATATTTCCATGTATGAGGGTAATGTTTGTAATAGAAATGGTAAAATAATACGGGAAATATGTTTTTACAAGGATTTTTATCTCATTTCTCATCACATATCCATCCAACTTTTCAAATGAAGCAAAAATGGAGAATATTCATGTTTTCTTCTTCTTCTTCTTCAATTCAAACGCCCAGAAATATACTTCTTGGGTACATTAGGACCAACCAGAAGATGTATGGTACATCTATTCCACATTTAATATTGTATTTAGGCCACTATTTGTGAGGGGATGAAGCCCATGTGGTTTGGGTTGGGTTATCCCAACCTAAAAATGAGGTTCTAGTCTGCCAAGTGACATGCCGAGGGGCGCTAGGGCCACACAATTCCATGTCTTCGTGGAACGTGGGAGGTAGTGTCTTACTGTTGGTTGGCCTTTTGCACCTTATAAATACTCTTTCTCCTTCCATTGAAAAGGGATCATCACATCTTGATATACAAAGGACATCATCTTGCTTAATCTCTCTGTCTGGACGATCTAATACTACAAGATTATGTCATTATTCTGGTGGATTAATGTCTATCTACACTCATTTTATACTAATTTTCTTTTCTATCCTACCTTCTATTCTACTCCTAAAAAAGAGTCTCATCCAGTTAGGTCACATTTTTTTGTCAACACAATTTTAATAAGTATAATTACATTTTTCAAAGAGCATTTCTTTCCTTCTTACTCTCCCTATATAAACAAATCATAAAAATAAATATCATGTGATATATTTAAAATTTTAACCAGTACCTAAATACGGATGCTCTGTTTTCTCACCGCAGACATAGAGACAAACGAGTGCTTAGACAACAACGGTGGCTGCTGGCAAGACAAGGCTGCCAACATAACAGCCTGCAAGGTTCTTGCATTAATCTTCATTTTTTATTCCCCCCACCCCTTTTAATGAAAAGAGTCCACTTTGATGAATGTACAACTTTTTTTACTTTTGAATTTTAGTATGGTACAACTTATTGAAAACAATAAATAAACCTACATTTTCAAACAAGTTGAATAATGTGACTCGTTTTATGGGAGAAACAAGTTGAGACGTAGGACTCTCTTTTGGGATTTTTGCTGCAATAGTTTTTGTATCACTTAGACCTTGTTTGTGTGTGTATTCATTCAGGATACTTTTCGTGGACGAGTGTGTGAGTGCCCTTTGGTTGATGGTGTGCAGTTTAAGGGAGATGGTTACAACTTTTGCAACCGTAAGTATACATATGGTATTTATAGGCTTTTGAACATGTCGCCGTCATGTTTTTACCTTAATATGGATATTCACATTTGCAGCAAGTGGGCCCGGCCGGTGTCACATCAATCACGGGGGTTGTTGGCATGAAACCCGAAATGGACATAGTTATTCTGCCTGTGTGGTCAGTCACATTTTATCATGTAGAAGAGTCAAGAGACTTCCCACTTTTGGTTTAAACTGTTACCCATTGTTTTTTGTCACTGGTTTTTGTCTTGGTGCACATGAATATGGATTACTTGCTACTTGTAGTCTTTTTTGTTACTTATCTTGCAAAATTCAAGTAGACATTATACAAAAACATGTGGGATAAAGATAAATGACTGGAAGGACTCGAAGTGTCAAAGTGACAAGAAATTCAATCTAGTGCATAAAAATAGATTAAAATGAAACCCAGAGACCAAACAACAAACCCCATAAAATCCCATATATTCCTATCTAAGGTCTAAAATTTCATGTGGTGCATTTTCTTGCGGTTCTAAACTCATAGCTCATTTTAGCAGATTAATGGAGATGGAAAGTGCACTTGTCCTCCAGGATTCAAAGGTGATGGTAAGAGTTGTGAAGGTAAGATTGTTACGGCTTGATGAAACTTAAGAATTCAAACTCCATTGAATTTATGCTTGACTACCTGATTAATAACCCGTGCTAATGTTAACTTTCAAATCATATTCTATGATTAGATATCGATGAATGCAAAGAAAAGAGGGCCTGCCAGTGCCCTGAATGCAACTGCAAGAATACATGGGGTGATTATGAATGCACTTGCAGTAATGACCTTTTGTATATGAGAGATCACGACACCTGCATAAGTGAGTGCCTTTTTGTTTTTTCTTTTAGAAATCCTATTATATTTCTTCACCTACACACACACACACACACAGAGAGAGAGAGAGAGAGAGAGAGAGAGAGCACATTTGTCACCATTCACACCCAATTGCAGGTAAGACAGCTACTCAAGTCAAGTCTTCTTGGGTGGGCGTTTGGGTCATTTTGATAGGACTGGCTGCCGTTGCTGGCACTGCATATCTTGTATACAAATACAGATTAAGGGTAAGTTTCTTTAACCCAAACTGCCTTTTCCTTTATACTAATAGTGGGTTTGAACAAAGGGTTTCTTGGAAACATCTCTTATTTTGAGTAGGGGGAGGAATATCTGCTTACACGCATACCCTCCCTATACCCTACCGTTGTGGGTTCTTATTGGGTCTTTTGCTCTTGTTTGGCCATCTAATGTTTCATGTGTCTTTATTCAATTTGCAGACGTATATGGATTCAGAGATCAGAGCGATAATGGCACAGTACATGCCACTAGATAGCCAGAGTGAGGTTCCAAGTCACACTGGCGATGCCCGTGCTTGAGAGAGTGCTTAGCGTTTCGACTAACTCCCCTCCTAATGCTGGACCCCACTTCAGCAGGAGATGGAAATGCCCGTTGTTGTTGCTCTGTAAATACCCTTTTCTCATTTTTTCGAATGGAATCACACGCTTTGTCTCCGCGTCCCCGAGGAGGGTATTATGGTAATTTTTACGATTAGTGGTAGAAAGAGTCGGGCACTGGTGCACCATATCTTTGTGTCATGTACTTGTGTTGTAATGATTTAAAAAAAACCACCCTACATTTTGGTAGGAACAACAGCCACTAGCAGAGGCAGTCTTGAAGGGTTTGTGCTGCGATAATTTTATTCAAAACCGTATGCATCAAGCTTCATTCTTGTATAATTACCGTGGTTGGTAAAAAAAATATTTTTTATTTATTTAAAGAAGCAAGCTTTTGAGCTATGAAATTCATCAACGAGAGGTTATTTTCAATGTCTGTTTGGTGAATTTTGGAGATATGACGATATATGGATTAAGGAATTTAGTAGGAGATACGATATGAGTTGTGGAATCTGAAAAAAGAGTGGACAAAATGGAAATGAAATGCAATCAAATGAGTGAGCTTCATTTGAGCAAAAGGAACAGTGTTCCCGCCAAAATGGAGCTACAGTATTAGGCCGAGAAATGGGTAAGGTAATGGGCTATGATTTGGTATAATTATTGGGCCAGATTATGTGGCAAACATATCAAACAAAAAAGCTACTGTAAAAGTAAAAAAAGGAAGAGTGTGCAGATGCCAGATGTGACCGTGAGTGGAGGGAGGCATATGCGAGAAGCTAAGCAGAAGTCCTTAAACTTCCAGATCTAAGGTTCTTATCATTCCGCCAGAAGCAGAGGACGATGACACTATCAGAGCCTGTGACCATGGATGCTGGCAGTGCTGGATTTGAAACGGAGGTGGCTCATACGTCTCATGCATCGAGGACAATTGCCTAGCAGATCCGAGATAGTTATTGGCTTCCAATGGTACGAATGAAGAGGAAGACGGCGATTAGGCAGTAGGTATCCTTATTATTTACTCATTTATTTTGCTTTCTTGCTTGCTTTCTCTATTTAGGCTGCAAAATTAGGCTTTATTTTTTCACGGACAGTAATTGTGTTGTTATTTGACTTATTTCTCGCTCGCTTTCTCTATTTAGGCTGCAAAATTAGGCTTTATTTTTTCATGGACAGTAATTGTGTTGTTATTGTTTACTCCATGTATTGTTGGACTTTCACCCCATTAATTAATACTCCGTATCTTACAGTTGCAAAATAAAACTGTACCAATCTAATCTCATTATACTTATATGAATCTCCTCCACCTAAGGACAGTGTTTGCCTGATCATATTGCAGAAATCAGGAACTGAAGAGAGTGGCCTTCGCCGTTGACCACACCACAATTCCTTTCTGTGCCATAACCACTGAGTCTGTGAGTTCTAGCAAAATCTTTATGTTTTTATTCGCATGTCTATCTTTTTTTTATACATTTTTTAAAATCAGATCTGAAAGTAGAAATAATTTTTAATATACTCTTGATATTTATTGATTTCATATTTGCCGAAGACTCAAATTTACAGGTATGATTTTGTTTGGATGTGCTGATGGCAACCAGTAATACTCTACTAGCTCAATCATGTTTATGCTTTCTACCTTTCTCAGGTCTGATTGGCTTTCCAAATCTTATGCTCTCTAATTATAAATAAGATATTGCAATTGAAATAAATTAGTTTGACCATTAAATGTGTAATTGATCAAAACAATACAGAGTATATATTTACTCTTTTAAATGTGATGTGCATTTAATAATTGTTATTAAGTGATGAATTATGTACTAAAATTTTTAAAAGGGCAAATGTACCTTACTCTTCGAATACAACTTTCTTGCCTTTTGTTTGTTGTAGTGAAAGGAGGAGAGCGAGTGACATGGGGTAAGAGAGGACGGGGGCTCATTGTGGGGGCATGTTCATTTCTTAAATTATTGTTAGTATTATCGTTATTGTTATTGTTGTTATTAGCATTTCGAATTCCTGGTGTTATTTCATAACATCTTTGGTTTTAGTTAATTTTGGATAGAAGATGTATTTTGATTTACCATTATCATGCCTTTTCTTCTAATATATAGGAAATGCATAGGAAAAGAACTAATATAGTTGAATGTTGGCCGCTCTTTTTGTTTAGGGTTTCTGTCGATACGTCCTTTCATCCTCTCGGATGTTTGCTGCCTCAACAGAGATGCTGCCCTCTTCCACCGAAGTCTGTCGCAAGGTTCTTCCAGATATAGGGTTTCATCTGCTCGATGGTCTCTTTTCCTTTGATTTTAGCGGCCGGTCATTCCACCAATGAGAAGAATCAGACGCGTAGGGTTAATCATCTCTAACTTCCTTCCTCAATATCCAATCCATTATCTATCGGGTATTTCATTTTCTTCTCCGAGTTTTTGTCTTCTATTAGATATATGGTCAAATTATAGAAAATTAGACAGTGCTCGCCACAAGCCCACAACCATGGATAAGAGGATGTTTTTGGATGAAGACATCTATCCAGACAGAGAACAGATCTGCTCTCTTTCTTCTATATTTCTCTTTTCATTTTCTTTGACTTAAGTGTACATTTTAAATACTCCGTATAATTCAGTAACTTAAATTAAATGCCATGAATTCCGTATAATTCATCCTAGCTTGGTAATAAATGTTTTTAGATGTGTAGCTTATCGTGCTCTCAATTGTTTAGACTAAGGAGCATTCTGCTTTGGATTTTTTTATTTTTTTTCTTTCACTTCTTTTTAGAGTTGTTTTGGTTTGTTCTTCCTTTCTTTTGTCCTACCTTTCTTTGATCCCTACGACAATTTAAGATATGGAGTGAGCTTTTCTTTTGCTGCAAGTTTTTTCTTCTTAAATTTGGGCCTCTCAAATCAAGAGGAAAAACAAGGCAAATGTATGGACATATATCCAATATTCAACAAGCACAATGAATACCATTAGAATCAGGTTAAGAATTTTGGTAATCAAATTTGCTCAAATTTACCTTCTTTGGTTTGTGGTTCTTGGTATCTACTTAAACTTTTATTGTTCACGGTGGAGGAAATAAATAGGTACTATATGGAACCGCGTGCATAGTAATCTTGGTGCGTGGTCCGATGCAAATTTTATGTCAAATCAAAATAAATAAATGGTAGTGTATTTATATGGAACTGTGTGTATGGTAATGTTGGAGCGTGGGTCGATATAAATTTTATGTCAAATCTAAATAAATAGGGAGTATATTGCTATGGAACCGCGTGCGTAATAAAGTTGGTGCATGACTTGATACCAACTTTATGTCAAATCAAAATAAATAAATTTGTAGTGTATTTATATGGAACCGTGTACGTAATAATGTTGGTGCGTGACTTGATACAATTTTATGTCAAATTAAAATAAATAAATGGATATTGTATTGCTAATAAACCGTGTGCGTAGTAAAGTTGGTGTGTTGATATGGAACCATGTGCATACTAATGTTGGTGTGTGCCTCGCTGCAAACTTTATGTTAAATCAATGTAAATAAATAAGTAGTGTATTGTTTTTGAATCGCGTGCGGAGTAAAATTGGTGAGTGACTTCATGCATACATTATGTCAAGTCATATTAAATGGGTAGATTGATTGTCCTATAAATATACTACTTATATATATTCCTCAAACATTTCATACCTCTCATCCCGATTCGGTCCACTTTCGAAAAATATCTCTAAAAATTCAAAGAGTATGTCGAATGAGCTTGCCGAGATTGACAATAGTTGAATTACTTAGATAGTTGGATGCTTATGTTATGAGCCGTTTGTGTCTACTTTGTTCCGGCTTGGACAATAGGAGTATGAAAGATGGAAGTGATATTTTAATGATGAACATGCATAACATTCATGATTTTTTAAAATTTTATTATATGTTATTATTATTATTTAATTTTATCATTTTATTTTTATCAATACTTTCCTTAATTATATAATTTATAATTAGGCCGTACAACGCACGGGTACGAGTCTAGTGACAATAAACACAGGTTACGGGCAATCTTCAATTTTAAAGTTGGTCTTTTATTACAAATAGAATAAATTGTTTTCATGCACAATTAAATGTTATTAGAATCTGAACTTGGGTAAGTGATTATGTTATGTGACTGAGGAGCTACTCCAATCATCTATCTTCACCACAAGCGTCGAACACAAGAAGATAATTCAAGATATGTACTCCTCCCGTCTTAAAATTAACTTCTCAGTTTGACTTTTGCAGTCAAATTTTTTAAATTTTGAGCGTAAATTAAAAAAAAATACATTGAATTTTCATAAAAATGTATTAGCAATAGATTCATTTTGGAATATAGTTTTGAAATATATAATTTTTATTTAATATATTTATACAAAAATTAAGATATTGATGGTCAAAATGTCAAATTTGAGACCACGAAAAGTCAAATGAGAAGTTAATTTTAAGAGAGAGTGAGTAATTTTTAAGATGGCATTTCATTTAATATGTAACATTTATGTTTTCCTATATAACATAATTTGATTTATTACTTATTAAACCCGTAAAGCTTGTCGAGGATAATGGTTGTTTGGGTGCGCAGGAAGTGTACACTCCTAAATTGTACACCCCCTCTCCAATACACATTTCTAATTCACAATCAAATTTAAGATACGATATGCTTTTAAAATGATATTTCAATTGTTCGATACAACTTTTGATACTCAACGGGTTCATAATGGGGGATATGGAAACAATTGAGTTGCAATGAGCGAGAGATATTTTTTTTTTAAATGCTAGTATGAATTAAAAGTTTGATAAAACAAGGGTCCTTTGCTAATTAATTAAGAACATAAAAAGTCGGGGGTACTAATTTAATGTTTGCAAGAAATGTATAATATAGATTTAAAAAGAAAAATCAAAGGTACTGTATACAGTAAAGTAGTAGAGTATGATTGACAAACAAGGTCCCATTACCTATATATATATATATAAGTGTACCGAATATGTAACGCTCTGTTGGTAGTGTATTGGAATTGTGCTTGTCGATTTATTTTATTTTCAAACATGGGTAAAGTCTGCCTACAAATAACAACTTCAGTTGAACAAACCAAAGACGGCCGGCCGGCCAGCCAACCCATCTGCAAGGACTGGAAGAAGACTTAGCTCATCACATTGGTTCCACATTCCCTCATGGTGTCAACATAATGTTTGCAATTCTTGTAGTGATCATCATCACTGTGCATATCCAGACACTGCAATGAAAAGAAGGGGCAAAAGCATTCTGTATTCAATGAGTCAAACAAACTAGCTCTCAGAAACCACACATTTGGAGGAGAGAAACTTTTACCTTGAGCAGCAAGTTGGGCCAGAGCTTTAGCTTGAGCCCGAGCTTGAACAAAGCTTTGAATATCTACAAGAACAACAACAAACAAACAAACATCTCTATTCAATGAGTCAAACAAACTAGAACAATTAATCCCAAAAGATATTGAATCGCGGTTTTGATCATAACAAGAATGGAATTACCTTTCCATTGCACTGCCAGCGGAGCCATACATGCAATAAGATAGTAAATCATTGGAATAAGAGGGGAGAGCCTATGGTACGAACCAAAGAAGAAAACCCCTTTCTCTATCATATAGGTATAAAAAACAAAGGGAGAGAGAGGGGAGAGTCCAAATCCCACTATTACTAAGACACTTCTAATTTCTCAATTTTTATCCTTAACTTCTTCATCCTTATCTTTAACAAGTTCCCGATGCAGTTCGATTCATTTTTACACGTAAATTGATAAAAGGTCTCTAGTTTTACTGTTTACATACTTAGTCTTTACATATCAAATATTATTAATTTAGTCTCCAATTCTTATGTTCATTTTTATAAATGGTACTTTGTTAATGTTTTCGTTAAGAACGTGGATAAAACTGTAAATTTACACTCTTTTCTTTCCACAATTAAGTTTCTTCCATCCCCTCGCGCTCCTTTCCCAAACCCGTCATTGAGTTTGAAACTTTGAACCCAATACCGAAATTATCACTCTTCTCGATCTCAATTGTTTGTCGAAGTGGTGGACCCAAATTCGAAGCCAATAACATTCATGGATGAACTAACCGATAAAACTTGTCCATAAAGCTTACTGAAGGAGGAGCGATCCTTTTTAGTTTTGGGTTTAAAGATTCAAACTCAACAACGAGTTTGAGAAAGAGTACGAGAGGAGGAAGAAAGCTTAATTGAGAAGAGAGAGAAGTATGAATATACTCCCTCCGTCCCAAAAAGTTTGTTACATTTAGAAAAAACTGCGTCTCGTAAAGTCCGTTACATTTCTATTAAAAAACCCCTTTTACCCCTTACTTTTGCATACCCTACCTATCACATCATACCTTTTTTCTAATAATCTACCCATCACATCTTACTTTTACCATCACATCAAGAGTATTTTTGGAAAGTCAATATTAAAATATCCCTCCCTTAATTTCCCAAAAAGTCAAACCGTCCCATTCTTTTTGGGACGGAGGGAGTACAATTTTATTAATGTTCTTAACAAAAATGTTAACAAAGGACCATTCGTGAAAAAAGAAATAATAATTGGGGACTAAATTAGTAATATTTGATATATAGGGACTAAATATGTAAAATCACCTATAACTGGAGACTTTTTATGGAATTTATTACACAAATAATATATAAATTGTTGGCTATTCACTTTGCTTTTATGCAATTTGTGTTTCATTTTTTCCAGTTTTTCAATTTTTTAAAAGTAAATATTTATAAGTGATGGATATCCGGACCCAATAGACATAAATGAACGCCCAGTCCACAGGAAAGAATTGGACCAGTGCGGAACAAAGACTGGTAAATAGGATACCAAAAGTCATGTTCCCGTTGATAGGCCCAAACATATAATATAGTTAGGGGCTGTTTGGCAACTTCTGAATAGGTAAGTGTTGAACTAGTAAGAGGTCTGAACCATTGAGTGCTGAACCAGTAAGAGGTCTGAACCATTAAGAGCTAGCATATTGCTTAACTATTCAAAGGCAAATGTCTGATCAATTCAGATAAGAGGTATTAATCATTCAGATTCTGTATAATACTTAACCATTCAGAGGCAAATCTCTTAACCATTCAGACATCTGAACCATTAAGAGGCTGAAACAAACAGTCTGAACCATTAAGTGCTGAACCATTCAGACATCTGAACCATTAAGAGGCTGAAACAAACAGCCCCTTAGTTCCGCATCGTAGGTTCTAATTTGGTAAAATAACATTATTTCATATTTTAAAAAGGTACGGAGTATTATTTATGCTAATTTAAAATCATTTAAAACATATTTTTCTCAAAACATGGTGGTACCACAACAAAAGAAATTGGACACTCAGTGAAACCGTTAAGTGATACCACAACATAAGTTCTATAGAACGATTCATGAACACATAATCACATTCATTACAGTAATCTCTAAGTACGGTTTAAAAGAATTCATTTTATCTTCTTCATGAAAACCGTTTACGGAGTAATTATTAAGAGATACTCTGTATTTTACATAAATAGGACTAAAACATAATGACTTTTCCAATATAGAACCATATATTGTTATTTTCCAATGAAGAACTTTTGGTCATTATCACATAGTCATTATTCAACTAAATATTCCTCCCACT